TTTGTTAAAGTATTATTATAACTTTATTAATAGAAGTGTGTTTATAGTTTATTTGTTTTTCAAATATAATAGGTTAAAGCATGTTCAATATCATAATTGACTTGAATTAAAAGAGCTTGCTTTCGAAATTGCAGCGCTGAATAAAATAATACATGTACATGTATATTGTTTATTGTAGTTTATTTATGAAAAGGTCGAGTAATACATGTACATGTATTAAAGTATCCCAAAATGTCATGATCTACATTGTTGATCATTCCCCAGTGTACATGTACATGCACATCCCATTTGTTTATCGTTATCGTTATCGTTTTTTTTCCGACGACCAACGCAAAAACAAAATGTCATCTTTTTCGCATACTGCAACTGACTGGTTGGAATACGCTAAGTCTGAAACCCAAATAAAATTTTTTGATTTTAATAAATTTTCTGATAAGAAAGTAATTGGACATGGAGCATTTGGTGAAGTGTATAAAGCTGAATTAAAAAATGAAGATTTAACTGTCGCTTTAAAATGCCTTTATGTAAACAATGAAACATATAATGAAGAAATTAACAAACAGTTTATTAAAGAGGTATAATTTTATTTAAGATTCGAAATATCTAATACGTTAATATTAATCATGTTCATTATCGTTATATAAGTTGAAAGTCCTTATTCTAATTAATCATCATAAAAATATTATTCGCTTTTACGGACTCACTCGAGGTAAAACATATTAATTTTTTTTTTATTAAAGTTTAATAAATTCATTAATAAAAAATATTCTTTAGACCCGATTTCTAAGAAGTACATGCTTGTTTTGAAATATGCTAATGGCGGAACTCTTAACGAGTATTTAAAGATTAATTTCGATAAACTGAGTGGCGATGACAAATTGAGTTTAGCTAAACAACTCGCTAAAGGCGTAAAGTGTATACATGATGCAGGCATTATTCATCGAGATTTGGTAAGAAGATTATATATTCAATATACTATTGATTTTATTATAAATACTAAGATTGAACTGTTTATTAATAGAATCACAACAATATACTCGTTCATAAAGGAAAAATTAAAATTGCCGACTTAGGTTATTCAAAGCTTTCAAAAGATCAATCTCACTCGAAAACCGATTTGGGTGTGATAAGTTATATTGATACCGCGTTTATAAAAGATATAACTAATTTTAGACGAGACGAAAAATCCGATATTTTTAGTATTGGAGTGCTATTCTGGGTTATTTCCAGTGGTCGTCCCCCGACTAATCAATATGGATATAGTTTTTGTACTTCATCAGAAAAAGAAATAAGAGTTTGCGAAACTCCAGACAAATATGTCGACCTTTACCAAGCATGCTGGGATGACGTACCAACGAATCGTCCGGATATTTATGAAGTCAACAGAAAACTTGAAGAAATAGAATGGCCAACCACTTCGTCTAACGTAATTCCAGAAGAAATAGAATCGCCAACCACTTCGTCTAACGTAATTCCAGAAGAAATAGAATCGCCAACCGCTTCGTCTGTCTTAATTCCAGAAGAAATAGAATGGCCAACCGCTTCGTCTGTCTTAATTCCAGAAGAACTGGTTTTTGATTCGGATATCGAAAGTAATTTAGTATTGGAAGATGAAGACGAAATTCAAACAGAATTGGAAATTTCAAATGGCGAAAAAATTATTGACGAATTGGTAACTCTATTAAGCAATTTACTCGGGAAAGAGGAAAATTTAGATAAAATAGGTGCCGAATTACAATCGTGTTACGACTCGTATAGTCAGAATTCTTTTAATATTGAAAAATACTCGGAAACTAATGCTCAACATAAGCTACTTTTAGGGTTTCTTTTTCAAACCGGATTCATAGTTAAAAAAAATGTTACATTAGCATTTAACATTTATCTAGAGTTATCAAGTGATAATAATCCGTCAGCTCAATCCTTGCTAGGATATACCTACCAAAATGGTGTAGGAACACAAAAAGATGAGAAAAAAGCGTTCGAATGGTATTTAAAATCAGCAGAGGGTGAAAACGCGATAGGACAACGTAGACTTGGTGTTTGTTATTATACCGGAATTGGAACACAAAAAGACGAGAAAAAAGCATTTAAGTGGTTTTTGAAATCGGCAGAGGGTGGTGCTGCTAGTGGACAACGTGGTCTTGGTTTTTGTTATGACAAAGGAATTGGAACACCAAAAGATGAGAAAAAAGCATTTCAGTGGTATTTGAAATCAGCAGAGGGTGGTGATGCTAGTGGACAAGCTTATCTTGGTTTTTGTTATCGAAATGGTGTAGGAACACAAAAAGATGAGAAAAAAGCATTTGAGTGGTATTTGAAATCAGCCGAGGGTGGAAACGCGACAGGACAATTTCATATTGGTAATAATTATCGAAATGGAATCGAAACACCAAAAGACGAGAAAAAAGCGTTTGAGTGGTATTTGAAATCAGCAGAGGGTGGAAACGCGACAGGACAATGCAATGTTGGTAATAATTATCTAAATGGAATCGGAATACCAAAAGATGAGAAAAAAGCATTTGAGTGGTATTTGAAATCAGCAGAGGGTGGTGATGCTAGTGGACAAGCTTATCTTGGTTGGTGTTATCGAAATGGTGTAGGAACACAAAAAGATAAGAAAAAAGCATTTGAGTGGTATTTGAAATCAGCAAGGGGTGGAAACGCGACAGGACAATACAATCTTGGTACATGTTATGAAGATGGAATTGGTGTTTCTAAAAATATTAGTAAAGCTAAAATGTGGTATAAAACTGCAGCTAAAAATGGTAACAGTAATGCAGAAAAAAGATTAATTAACATAAATTAACTTCTGCGCCTCCTGATATTTTAAATTTCTTTTTATATCAGATGTCATCTTTAATACTATCCTATTGAAATCTTTTCATTTTTTTTATTTTCTTATTTATTATAGTATAATATTTTATTAAATTTTGCTTTTATGATATTAGAATTCACGAAATTTAACTTTATACTATTTATTTAGTTATGTATTTGAATAAATCTGGCCATCGCCATAATTGCAAAATTAATAATTATTAACTTTGAAAATTTATATTTTCACAGAAGGCGTGTGTTTACTTATCTATTTTAATAAGCTAGAGCAGGATCCCAATATGGATATACCCCTTTACACAAAGGCACTCTCAATATAACAAACACCTCCGAGTATAGAGATTTTTAAACTGTTCATTATATTGAAATTATTATTGTTATTTTAATTTTGTCTGTTATAGCGGCTCCGTTGATTTACCGGACAATCTAGCGGTCCGTTATATTCATGCAACTTAAAGGATGGTTTTTCAGTTCATTTTACCAATATCTATATGATCTCTATCAAATAACAAAAATAATTTATTATCAACTTTATGTATTTGAAAAACCATTTACAAATGAACTTATGTAAAGTTAGAAATTTACACATTTTTTTATCGTTATATACCAGATTTTCGCTAATTTGAATCGACTCCCACCTTTAAATAATCATTATTTTGCCATAAATACTAAACTATTGCACGGTAGTGAAAAAATTCACTTGTTTTTAGCACACTTGATTCTGTCAAACATTTGCTACAGTTTTTTTTTTTTTTTGAGGGATCCCTGAATTTTGACACGATATAACAAACTCATAAATTTATCCAAGGGTTCACCAAGTCAACTATGGGCAGAATTATCCTTTTTTTACTTGTGTTGAGTACTACGATCGATGAATGTTCATATAACATTATAATGAATGTACTCGGTGTTAAAAGAATGAATACTGCTGGAAATGTTTCGAATATCTCAAACGAAGTTCCGAAGCTGAATAGCGAAAATAAAGATACCAACTGTCTGATAATTAAATGGATTAGATATTCTTTCAAATGAATTCATTTTGAAAAGAAGGTTTTGGAACAACTTAAAAAGTAACCTGCCTGGTTGGACGGACCATTGAAGCAACGGAATTATGAAGGAAAGTGAAGTTGTATTGATAGTTTTGCGTGATTCAAAAATAAAATTACATCAGAGTATATAAATGAGGCAAATGCTTTTTTATTTTTAATAAAATCAAGTTTTTAAAAATAGATTTAAAGTGCACTAGTTTTATTACATATACTCGATAGTAAAGGATTATGAAAGATGTAAATTTATTAATAACAAATATGAAAAAGAATGACTTGGAATGAAGGTTGGTTAATTATTTTATTTTATTAGAGGGATTCATCCAACATAACTTTCACTTAAGAAGTATACTATTATATAAAACTGCTCAAATTTCCGATTTTTGGCTTACTAGCACAACTAATTTAATCGAGAATTTTACAGAGTATTCCCTATATGAGTTCTGAGGTGCTAAATTAAAGTCTACATTAATCTGCATATATTTATAGACCTGGGATGGTTATTACGGGATTGTGACAAGTGAACAGCCACTCAGTGAGCGAAGTCATTGTATTTGACATCTTCTACATTAGAAGATAAAGAAATTAAAATAATTCTTAAACAAGAAAGACAGAAAATAAAACTTTATGAAAAAATGAAAGTGTAAGTGAACAAAAAACAAAAACCGTACTTATTACAGTTTGCAAAAAGGTGTAGTGATGCAAATTGCAGTTAGATAAAAGTGTTTATGTTAATCAAAACATGTGCATAAAAATTAGTTTTTATCTTTTATCTCTGATAGTTTGATTCATGTATATGTTGTGCCTCAGATCGATTCTTGCCTCAGGTGGCAACTGAGACGCATCAGATGTCAATCATCAGGTGAGGTGCGTAACTTGTTGATTGAATATCTGAGGAACCTCAGTTGTTACCCGAGGCATCTCAGTCATAATCTGAGGCACGACATTTATAAAAAAATGGCCTACAGATTCAATAAAAAAAGAATTATATTTCTTCAAATACCCAAAACTTTCTCTTTGAATAAAAATCATGTAAAACCTATACATGAAAATTTGTATTAATTCTAAATTTCTAATTTGATAATATTACAATTAATTCTTATTTGAACATAATTTTCCACCATGACATCTGCTTGTACATTCTCTCCCATCCTTTTACATCTACACTTATTGTTATCACAAGAACTCTTGCAATTACAAATAGTGCTTGATATTAATTCCACACTTTGTAATCTCTCCACCTCTCAAATGAATAATTTACATAATAGAATCTTATCAAGTTCAGGATATGTAATAGTTTCAAGTGCTTCAAGCTTACTTGATGAATAATAAATATTAATTATATCAGATTTACAGTCTAATTGGTACTGTTCACCAATTTTGCCCATAACTTTGCAAGAAAAAGAAGAATGATTAATACCAAATTGATCAATCTTTAAAATATCAACTTGTATAAGATCACCAATATAAAAATCTATAACTTTTCTTTTTTTTAGCATTTATTTTGTCATATTTTTAGTGTAAAACTAAAAAATTGAATTATTTCTTGATTATTAATATAATAATTCTGGAACCAGATTCAAATTATTATCTAATTGCTAATATAAATTTTGTAAGAATTTTTTAAGTTAATAAAAAAATAAAAAAATAATAATAAATATGAACTTATTCAAGATATTATTATTATTTATTTGCTTATTTAAAAATTCTGGGCTTCTGTCTGAGTATTTTCATGTTAATAAAAAAGAAATCAAATGAATGTGAACTTATTCAAAGTATTATTATCACTCATTTGCCAATTTGAAGATTCCAGACTTTTATCTGAGAATTTTCTAGTAAAAAAAAATTAATTGAAACAAAAATATAATTAATAATTAATTAAAAAAAATATAATTATTTAAAAAAATAAAATTAATTAAAAAAATAATAAAAAAGGAATTATAATGAACGTAAACTTATCCAAAGCATTGTTATTATTTATCTGCTGATTTAAAATTCTGAACTTTTGTCTAAAAATTTATAAATTTAATAATAATCTAAATATTTTGTCATACAAAATATACTATTATTCAAAATTAATTAATAAAAAAATATTGTCAATCCACTTTAAGTATTAAAAGAAACTGAAATAGAAGTAGTAACAAAAGAAATATATAGATATTTCTTATTTAAATATTTTGAATATAATAGAATCTATCAATGAATTACTATATAATATTGGTAAAATAAAATAAAAATTGAAATAAAAAATCTTGTTTTACCTATTAATTTACAGAAAGCTAACAATTTAAAAAATCTTTATTCAAATAAAATTGAATAATCTTTTAATTATATTGTTACAAATTGTATATTAATTATTAAATTAATTTATAAACTTGAATCTCAATTGGAAGAGAATAATAACTGATAAAAATATTAAAAAAAAGAAAAATTTATGTTAATTTCTATAGAAATTATATCTATTTAAAAAATAATAATAATATAGAAGAGTAAAAATAAAAAAGAAAAAGGATATAAAAAAATAAAATAATAAATAATAAAGAAAATTTGAATGACTAATTCTTTATATTTGTATAAGCTTTTCAAAGTTAAGATAAAATAATTAGTAATAATAATAACAAAAACTTTTTCACTTTGTTCTTTTTCCAAATGAAAAATATTAAAATAATAAATAACAAAAATCAAAATACTTAATATTCAAAATTAATAGTTTTAAAATAATGATTTGTTTAGTACAATATAATATAAAGCTTAGTAATCTAATAATAATAATTTGTTTAGTATAATATAATTTAAAGTTTAAAGTCAATAATAATAAATTTCTTAATACAATATAATATAAAGTTATTAGCAATTTATTAGATATAATATAATATAAGATCACTTATACACAAAATTTGAAGTGTATAAAGAAAATATAAAAGACAAAAATATTTGGTAGAAGATTTTTGTTAAGAGAAATTTTTATTTTCAATTACAATATATTAAATTAAGACTCAGATGACACCTCTATTTATACATTTTTTGAAAATACAAAAAAGTAAACTAAATAAATAAAAGTGAAATAACTAATTATATAAAAGTGAAATAACTAATTATATAAAAATAAAATAATTAATTATATAAAAGTGAAAAATTGAATAAGTAAACTAACAAAAAAGTGAAATAATATATATAAAAGTAAAAAATTGAAAAAGTAAAATAATGAAAAAGTGAAAAAATTTTACTATTAGATCATATAAAGTAATTTTTTTGATTTTATATTAGCAAAAATATTTTTTGATCTGAGTACCTGGATTATTTTTAAATTTAAAATTCTTTTAAAATAAGTGAATTTATAAATATTTATCAGAATTATTATATAACTCTGTAAATATTTATTATTAATATCAACTATTATATAACTATTTGTAGATTATATTGTACTCTACAAATTTGATTATAATCATAATTTATATTTTCTATTAAAAATTAAAAGTTTACATAGACAAAACTAAAATATTTTTGTTTTTATGTTAATAAATATTTATCATAATTATTATATAACTTTGTAAATACTTATTATTAATATTGACTATTATATATAAATTTATATTCTTAATTATAAGCTATAACTTTGCTTATAATCATAGTTTATATTTTCTATTAAAAATTAAAAGTTATATAGACAAACAAAACTAAAATATTTTTGTTATATGTTAATAAATATTTATTGTACTTACTATATAACTTTGTGAATATTTGTTATCAATATCAACTATTATATATAAATTTGTAATCTTATTTATAATCTACAATATTGCTTATAATCATAGTTTATATTTTTTTATTATAAAATAAAAGTTTACATTGACATAATAAAAGTGAATTAAAAATTATAATTATTAAAAATATTTTTTAAATTTATACTAATTTACCAATTTATTATTAAAAATATTCAAATTTGAACCTGATTTAAGTTTAGTTCAAATTTGAACTTAAGGAATATTACTAATTATTGTATTTCAAAATTAAAATTTCTCAACTTCAATTTGGTGATCCAGTCAGAATATGAAAATCAAAAAATTTACTTTGTGTGATCTTATATGAATATTTTTAGAGTTTTATGTTTTTTGATTATTTTTGAAATTTGTGATTTTTATATTACTACTATAATAATATTATAATAAATTTTATTAAATTATGTATTTTGTGTTTTATAAATAATAGTAGTGTTTATTTTTTTTGATATATAATAATTCCTTTGTTATAACAAAGACTTTACTTCACTTGATCGATAAATATGTGATATTGAGTGGTCAGTAGTTAATCATGTGAATTCTATTTTTATCGGATAATTTGACCATTTTATTGGTCAACCACTTCATACGTAGACAGTTAGCGTTAGCTTTACTTTGTAGATTAATCATTCACATGAAAATTTCGTGGTGCAATACTTTGTGCATCCATAAAAATATATAATTCAACATCTATATGTTATAATTAAAAACAAACACACAAATAAACGCGTCACATTTCTAGCATTTTGCATCAAAATGATGAAAGCAATTTCACTTGACAGATGAACCCCGTATCTATGCTCTTATTAAAAAAAGGATATTCTAGTCATGAAATTGCATATCGTGAAAAATTAGTCATTCTGGGTTTTAAGAATAAAGCAATGAGGAAACTGGAAACTTTAACGTCATACCAAAAACAGGTCGTTCCTGAATATTTACTGAATGTCATGATAGCAATTTTTGCAAGCCTATCAAATCGGGTAAATGTTCTAATGCGGTTTATGTTCAGAAAAAATTAATTTTTGAACAAAAATTAATAGTTCCTTCAAATGTAATTCGACGCTCATTAAAAAGACAAGGTTTAGTAGCTATTGTGCATAACATCTAAAGTCATCAAACATTTATATTTTATAAAATATATAAACATCTTTACTAATAAGTAAGGAAAAAATTTAATCTGTGAATATGATCAGAGAGTGCCTATTCTATCATATTCACGGATGAAATTTTGTATTTACTTCTTAGTTGAGAAGTTTAGACATTTTATAAAATGCAAACGTTTGATGACTTGAGATGTTATTCACCGTAGGATAAAAAAAATCAAAACCATTGCTCCTTAAACGACCTAGAATTGCAAGAAAAAAGTTCGCAAAAAATATCGAGAAAATTGATTTGGTCAGTTGAAAGCAAATTCATGATTTTTTGGTTCTGATGGAAGAGAATGGTGTAGGAAAGGTCAAAATTCACCTTTGCGTCCACAATATGTTAATTCGACAGTAAATTTGGTGGGGTTCTGTTATGATATGGATGGGTTTTTTCGGTAGTTTTGGTCTTGGAAATCATTGTAAAATTGATAAGACAATGAATAAAGAGTTATAACATGGAACCTGCCAGCACAATCTCTCAACTTAACTCCTTCGAAAATTTGTGGAATGAAATTGATACTCGTTTGCGACAACTTCCTGTAATATTAGTAGTCATCTATGGAATAAAATACAAATGTATATGGAACCAAATCGGTGTTGATTACTGTTTGAAATCTATATGTGCAAAAGTATTGCACCATGAAATTTTCGTTTATGTAAATTTTTTCGGAAAAAATGTAAATTAAATTATAATAAAATTTAACAATAATATAGTTCAAGCCCAAATATGTAGTATTAATTGTTTGTTGATGAGATATTACGGATTAAAAATTTTAAATCGAGTGGCGCAATAATTATGGAAGTCACCGTAATTAACTTTTTCAAAATCAGACTGCTCTATTTGAATTATTATGTACATGTATTGGAATAATAAATTATCAATAGTTTGTATAAAATTCATGATGAGAAATTTGTGCATTGTGACTTTCACCCTGGGAATGTATTATTAGTAGACAATTATGCTCGAATTGCTGAGTTTGGACTTACCAAACCAGCAGAAATAGAAAAATCTGATCAAAAAATTTGTGGAGTATTTCCTTGTATAAGTCTAAAAAGCCATACTCTAAAACTGCAGACATTTATAGCTCTGGGATGATTATGTACGAGGTGAACGACCATTCAATGAGCGGAGTCATGTCAATGATATTGTATTAGACATCATAACGGAGTACGACCTACGATATCAAGAAATGGTGCAAATTTATTATTGAAAAATGTTGGGATTTTATTCCAGAATACTATTGAGGAAATTTACAAAGTTATCAACTCTATCGAATACCCAGCAGATAACAACTGGCGAATACTTTGCATTTTCAGTACTACAGCTTTGCATTATATCTTATTAAAACAGATGAAAAATTAAGAGTGCCTTAAATTAGAAAAACAAAAATTAAAGGAATTTGACGAGAAGATGAAATTGCAGAAACTCCACTCAAATGCAGTTTATACCAATTGAATATTCAAAATTAATTTCAATTCAAGTACTTTT